TTTCGTTGTTGACTCATCTTCAGCAATAGACACAAAATCCACATGGCCAGTTTCCTCGGCGACTACATCACCATCGAGGAAATTCGATTGAGCCGTGCTTGATTGAAAATCAGCAGGTAACACATGGACCATACTAATTTCCATGTTATCCAAGACTGACGGGCCCATCGGGTTGGGACCCTCCTCGCTAACCTCATCCCTCGTTTGGTCGACGACTGCGGGCTCTGTTTTTGTCAGAGTTGGACAAAAAGACTCCTCTGTCCCTTCTTCGAGGGTTTGAACCTGCGGTGCTGCTTCGGCAGCTTGTTGGTTCTGTGTGACCGCCGCAGGCGAGGTTGAGATCGACAGTGTGCTTTGGGTCAGGACCTGCACCTGCTCTTGGTAGTATAGCCGGGCATCTCTGGTATCGAGATAAGCATCCAGACGTGCAACACGTGCTACTTCATCGGTCGTGAGACCGAAGAGAGAAACCGCCGAAAATACTTCGAAGTGATATCGTAAATACTGAAGATCCTCCATTGAGAAAGGAAGGTCGGCTGCAACGATATCAGTGTATGGGTCGACTTCAAATCCAAGGACACGGGCTTCTCGTATGTGCTGGAACCTTGCCTTCAATCCCGGGTCAGAGGTCTTCTGGATGATGCGCTCGGCGTCCGGACAAGTCAGGACTAGATCAATGGTGTCCTGGCATGCTTTCGGCAAACCATACAGATCGTTGGCCGAATGTTTCTTATGGAATTCGCGCATATATTCTAAAGCCTCCCCAAGGAATGGTGGATGCAAATTCCGTCGAATTTTAATCAACGGTTCTTGTATAGCTGGCTGGGCTAATTTGCTCTCGGCCTCTTGCCTGAAATGCTCGAGGCGTGCCTTCATCTCCCCTGGGCGAAGAAGAAGTTTGATCCGTTTATCGGCTTCTTCGAACGTGGTCTCGATATCTCGGTCGACCAACCGCTTCCCCTGACCCAACTCTGTCATAATAGCTGGAGATGGTCGTTCATCACCAGTAGCAACTGTGTCCTTCGGCCGCCATTTAGGGGCCGAAGTTTCTTGGGCTGCCTGCCGACGGGCCATGCAATCTATCCTCTGGTGCCGGCGTTTCTGGGATTTGGACAACGCGGTGTAGACGCCTTTCGAAGAATGATACGTGTACCAACGTTGATCTTTAGGCTCGGGAGGTTTGAAGGTTTTTTGACTCCGCGACGATTCCGAACTACCAGAATTACGCGTATAATAGTCCTCGTCATAAAATGAAGCGCCAAAATCGAGGCGCCGCCTGACTGAGGATGTCTCTTCCATCTTCACTGTTGGGCCGAGCCTATCAAAAACCCCTTGGTGTCGGCCGACGCCGGCTGCTTTTTGCTGAATTGCGGCCCGTAGGTCGTTCTGTGATAGGCGAAGATGGTTTCTTCTCTGGCTCACTGCCGACCGACTTCGCTCTACATTTACTGCAACCGCCGTAAACTCACCGCCGCTCACTCGCTTCCACTACATTTACTGCAAAAAACCGCCGTCCCACTATCTTCATCGGTGCTATAATCCCTCATAGGTTTAACAATAGCAGGTCCTGTTAAAGCTGTAGGTGGTTTGTTCGAACGAAAATCGGCCATGAAACGTGGCCGAGAATTCTGTTCTGAGTACGAAAGTCTTGCGTCGCAACAACTTCGGCCTTCCCTTTTCCTTTGTCCTTAGGTAGGTATGCATCGACCATATTCACGGTTGCTGTGGGGAAAGGATCAGCATCAATACTCATCTTCTTCTCTGGAAATTTCAGTTTTCCATTATCAATCCAGCTCTGGACGTTGTCTCGAAATACGACACAATTGTTTGTCGTATGTTTACTTGAATTATGGTATTTGCAATACACCTTTCCTTTAAGCTCTTCGGCCTTGGGAATGTTGTGACCAGGCCGAAGTTTGATGATCCTTGCTGACAACAGTTGATCAAAAATTGCGTCAGCCTTTGTAATAATATCAAAAGTATACACTTTTGACGATTTCAATGTTCCTTCAGTGGCCGAGCGGCTTTTGACTTCCCTGGAGTCAACTTGAGTCAAGGCCTTGCAAACGTATGGCTTATCTATTACTATCTCAGCCCGCATCCACACTAACGCATTCATCCTCGGTTGACGCATAACTGACGGTAGGATTCTTGTAAATCGTCCCCCGAGACGGAGTTTTCGAAATCTTTTCCTCGCGGAGCAAATAATCATACTGTTCGACATGTTGGGCTAATTCATACATATCCCGAACATTTGCCCCCAAGAATTTCTTTTTGTATTCGACGTCGAGGCCGTTCAAAGCAAGCCGGACGAACTCGACTTCGGGCAAGGGTACTCGGCACCAATTCCTGGCTGATTTGAACCTGGTAAGATAATCCATTGGGGACTCATCTGATGCCTGAGCCATCCTTGCTAATGAAGAAACCGACACCTCCAACCCTGGTCGATAAAACTGCTCGTGGAATTTCTCGACCAACTCCTCCCAATTTTGGATGGAATTAGGAGGGAGATTGATATACCAAGCAAATGCCGAGCCGGTCAACGAGAAGTTGAACAGCCGTAATTTATGGAAATCACTATGAACATCGCCGCATTGCGCGGTGAAACGAGCCACGTGCTCCAACGAAGACAAGGACGATTCACCGGCAAAAAGGCTAAAATCCGGAATCTTGAAACCTTTCGGATATCCGAACGTTTCTATGTAGGCCGGGTACGGATGGATAAACTTAGGAAACTTCGGCCCTTTCTTCATGGCCGAGTCGATCATCCGCTGAACCTCGGTCATATCAACAGGTGTTGCTTCGACCCTCTGGTCGATTCCGTCCGACCTACTATTTGACCCTCCGACCTTTTCCAAGTCAATTGGTTTGGGCCGAGCAGGAATTGGCTCGGCCTGTACCATTGGTAACGGATTATTTCTTGGTGGCAAGCGTTGGAAAGGATCGAAAGGCCTGCCGTCACTGAATTTACTAACCAGCATTTCGAGCAGTCTGGTTTGCTGCTCAGTGGAATTGAGTATCACGTCATGTAGCTTGTCAATACCTCGGCTAAACGTCTGCTCAACTGACCGAGACTGCTCGTCGAGTCGCTTTCGAAGAAACGACCTTGTTGGTGGGTCAGATCCTTCACCGCCATCCTCTCGTCGCAATCCTCCACTATCCCTTCATTGAGAACACAAGTGTTCCTGTTAAGGATTTCTAGACTGCGGTGTTGACCGCCGAGATTAACTTCCCTTTCTCGGCGAGTCGCACTTGTGGACTCAGGTGTCCCGGCGCTAAGGGGATTCTGCGCCTGTGGCACACTTTGTCCTACGTTCTGAATCGGTAAATCGGCTGTTGATTTTCCCATAGCTGTTTTCTTTTTTACCGATCGCGTTTCAATTGGCATGAACTTCGTAGTTTTAGCACTGGGTCCCACTGGGCGTGCCAAAATGTTGACCCTAGAAACTACAAAGCCTACGTGGCGCGCAGGCCGAGTATATTCTAAGCTAACTACGTCCTTCGGTGATTGCGGGCGTGCCAACTCGTCGGCCGAGGCCCGGCCGAGGAGTAAATTTGATGATGTTGCGTTGGGTCGCGCTACTGACTTCTGCGTCTTGCGATTGCGGCCGAGAAAGGAACACGTCTCGGCCTCTTGGGTTCTCGAGCCTGAAGACAAGGCTGCTATTTCTTACAAAATTCACGAACCGAATTCGGCTTTCAATGTGCCGAATGTAATAACTGTGACACCTCACCTCGCCGAGAAGGCTAATGAGATGACCTCGACCAACAAGGATTCGAAAACCCTTCTCGACCGAGACTTGGATAGGTAATCGACCGTTCTCGCCGCAGTGCTGTTGATGCCAACGGAAGATACTGCGAGACCGACCAATTCTACGGTGACAGAGCTATCTATGCCGACTTAAGATATCACCGGTTGCTTCCACAGTGCTGTTGATGCCAACGGAAGATGTGTCAGCGAAAAAGGAAAAGAAAAAGATCTCAAGTTGTGAGAGTTTGCGCAGGGCAATTTTGTGGTCCTTTTCCATTGCTGAATGTCTTGTATTTATAGAAGCAGAACACCGAGCCCGAGTTCTAATCCTATTCGAACTAGGTTTCCTTCTCCGGATTAACGTTACCTCAATCAGTCCTACCTCTGCTAGGACTACGAATCTAGTCCTTAACTGAGCCGGATTCGCCTTCTAGTTTTACTGATCTCGTCGAGGGTCCCTATTGTATTAGGACTCGACTTGCATTCTGATTTAACCGACCTAGGCCTAGAAGCCCATGAGCTGAAGCCCCCATGACTTTCTCGCCGTAGTCTTCCCGGGCCGAAAGTGATACCTCCCTCGGCCCAAACTGCTATTTTGGGCCCAAACAAGAGTAGTCATCAAATGATAAATCCCCAAAATAGTTTTGCATATAATTGTTAACATGCCACCCATATGGATCCGAGATTGGTTGACGTTGTCCATAAGCAAAATCATTTGAAGATTGAGTCTCGGATTCTTTCCATGAGTCGCTCGATTCCATCCCAGCAGGAATGAGATATGAAGGGTAGGGAAATGGTTGGTTATGAATATAACCATAGTTACTACTTCCCACTCCAACAGAGTCTGAAGTTATAGATAACGAGTCATCTTCTTGACTTGACAAAGTCCCCTTGCCTTTTTCTCTACAAGTATAGTCTTTCCCTATGACACCAATTCTTGGTGTTTTTTTAAATATAGAAATTATACATATACTAAAACCCAACATAAAAACACTGTTCATTAACAGCGGTTTGACCGAAATGCCCTCAATTTCTTCTTTGGATAAGATACTGTTTTACGTTTTCTACGGTTAAAAGTCTATTTTGCTCTTCCCAGACACGGGCCTTTCATCGTTTCTTTCTCTGCCTCGACCGCATCGTTTTTACTTAACATTTCCACGTGTCAAACATTGACCCACCCTCTATCCGGCTTTCCTTTTGCTTCGGTCTTGCATGCCCTCCAACTGGATCTTTAGAATTTTCCTTTGGTTTCTATCACACATCCAATCCATCTGACTCTTCCCACCAGTACACCCTCACTAATTCACTCAACCCTCTCTTCACTTCTCTCTACCCCCACTCAGACTCCCCCAACTCTCAACATTGTCACTCTCTCTCATTCCTCACTACTCTCTGCCTCTCCCATCTGTACCCCATCTGCAACTCTCTTTCTCCCTCTCGGTAAAACTGAGAACCACCACCGTAATCCCTGGAGCTTTTGCGCTGATTCCAATTTTTTAGTGATTTCCAAGAAACGTAGTCTACGATGCCTGATCCGGCCTGATTTGAAGAAGATTTCTCAAGCGACTGTAATTTCATGGTACGTTGGCTTAAAGAAGTTCCAAAATTTGGGATATTTTTAGATTTTTCTGATTCTTGAAAAAAACCATGGTTTAGAGTAAATTAATTATATTTCATTTTCATTTAATTCAGGTAACCGTCTTCAGTTTTTGGGTTTGAACGCCGGAACCAGTGATCTTTGAAGAAGGTTGGTTCTTGAATATTTTTATTTAAATCCTTTTGGTTGTTTGAGTGGACTTCCTGTAATCTAAATGAAGCTAAATTGAATATCTGTTTTTGTATAATGTATTTGCTTTGTTAAATTAGTTCTTTTTGGTTGAAATTTTTTGTTTGGTTTTGCTGATCAAAGGGGTTAAGCGGTGGAGGAATGGGTTAATAGTTATGTGTTCTTCTTGATAATTGTATGTGTTTATGCCCTCATGATATTGTGAGATATCATGGGATTGTTTGTGATCTGATTAAATAGATAGTATGGTTTTCAACATTATTATAGGCTTCAGTTTTTTTGGAACTCATGGATAATTAGATTTACTATATTTGTTGATGCATTGAGTAACTTATTTGATTTTAGTTTTCCTACCCCAGGTGCGTGGTTGACAAAGGGAGGGGTTCAAATCCCTCTATGCGCAAGATTGAGACTTTTCAGCAATTTTCAAGTATTTTTGGGTTTAATCTTGCGATATTATTATCGATAATTTCGCGATATATTGCCCAAATAATGCATTAAAATGCTGAAAATATCGTTTTTGATATTATCGCGATAATATCGACAAAAATATTGATATATTGACGATAATTAAGTGGATAAGTGTGAAAATATCGTCATCTACAAAAAAAGATATTATCGGTAAAATATCGCCGATAATATCGATATTTTAGACCTTGGTTACTGCAAGCATGAGTATAAATGAGACAAATATTATTTTTATTATTACTGCCAGCCATGAGTATGCTTGAGGTAGATATTGTATCTATTATATATACACACACATGCCCTTTAAGGGAAGGGATCTCCATTGTACAAAAAATATGGATTAGTTGTGAGGCCAACTCCATATCGAATTTCAACGATCCGAACCATCTATTTTGTAAGTCTCGATTCATAGATCAACATTTAAAAAAATTCAATTCAATTCGAAATCATTTGCCTATTTAATTATCACGACAAAATTTTATTGTTTCTTATAGAACAAAGTATTCATCAATTTCTTTGAACTCAATTAGATATCTCAAATATTTCTAATTTGGCTAATATTTTGCAAGGATGAAGGTGCAACTTAAAAACAGACGGTTCGGGTCATTGAAATTCGATGTGGTGTGTGCCCCACGACTAATCTCCATTAAAAAAAAAAGAGACCATTTAAAAAAAAAAAAAGGTATTTGCCTTACGTGTGTGTGTATATATATTGTATATGTCGTATTACTGGAACTCAAATGAGCTTCATTGCTTATCCAGGTTTTTGCATTGACTGGTGCGCCATATTCCAACAGTGTAGCTAGTGTGTGTAGTGCACTTGAGAGTAGAGTTGGTTACTTATATTGTAATTTCATTTCTGCTGGTTATATGATATGTATTATATATAATTCCTAACTTACTCTATGCATTTTTATAGCTATTTTTGCCGTCACGTGTCGATCTTTGGCTTATATTGGGATCAGGACATGACACTTAAGATCATCATCTTGCACGTGTGCATGGATTTATGTCCTATAAGCATAATTGACTATATCAACACACGACTAATAACAACATAGAATATCCTTTCGTAAAATTTCCATAGTTACACACAAAAGATGGACAACCATGTATTCTAGCTATAAAGTCAAAAATTGTAAAATAGGGTGAATTGAATCTTGATTGTAAGTTGTTGTCGTGTATGATGATATTCACTAGTGATGACTCGAGTTCCAAGCTAGTCCGAACTAGTCTTATTTTCATTATTCCTACTTGCACTAAACATGAGACTGTTGTCTCCCTCAAGACAATCCCACCTAGTAAACATGTAACGAACAGAAGCCTAAGAATTGTAAAGACGACCGACCTACTCGGTGCGATCGAGTTGGTTTGGGAGGAAGCATTGTCAAACCTTGATCATAAACTGCTTTGACCTTGCTATTGAACCAATTCAGACACCTGTGTATCGGACTGTTGTTGAAGTCAACACAAGTAGGAACAGAAAGCTGATAATTAATAAATATTTGCATAACTCATTTTGCATGTGTGAATGAATTACATATTAAGAAATACTAAGGACACTATTTGAAAAATGAGATTTTTTATGACTTTCTGCTATATCATGTTTTTTGCATAATGTTTTATAAAGTTAGCATGAGAATTGACGTTAAACTGTAAGGTGATAGAAAGTCCATGAAGAGTTACACATTACGATACTCTTCTTAGCATTTCTCTTACATATTTTCAGAAGATTCCAAGTAAAACATGGATTAGTTGTCAACACGTTTCCTTATTTGATATTTCGTGCCAGAATAATCTTAGGGATACTAAATTTATAAACAAAATTTAATAAACTAAATAACATGAAAGTTGATGATCAGATTATTACCTAAACATTGATAAACATGCTCATTCTTATTGGTAACACATTATTTAGTTTGCAAATTTTATATACAAACTTAATCTTCCTAGCATTACCCTTCATGCAAAGCCCCTTTTCTCCTTATAGCTATTGTGGGCTAATTTTGAACTGATTCCTATTTGAACTCTTTTTGCCCAATACCCACACCTTTTGGACAAAGAAGATGGATAGGATTGAATCACCCACCCTGATATGCTATGTATCCATTCCTGTTTCCAACACCCCTTGCTTTTTATCTTCCCTGCTAAAGTTTTAAAGATCATTTATCTTTGCACTTAAGGTTCAGAGTTAGATTGTTCCTTTCGGCTATTACGTGGGTAAAAAAAAAAAGTTTTTAAATTTTGATCCTCTAATTTGTTTAATAGTAAGAAACAAATAACTACATAACCATCCTAGCCCACACGAACTTTGTTGTATATCATTTGTTTTGCTGACACAACTTTGGCACACTCGACCCTTTCGTTTCTCAATCATTATGAAAAATAAGGTCATAGTTTATCAAATTTTTATACAAGCGATATCAGCAAAGAAAATTGAACTTAAGACTTCGAGTACATCTGTTTGTCTAGTATTTATATTTCTTCCAATATAAAAAATCAATTGAAAAATGTCTAATGAGTATATATATGCAATGCAACACAAAAAAGAACAACATAAACACACTTCCATATTTTTTGTTGTTGCATATATATTTATATTACTCAAATGAACTAAAGCTACTTAAAGCCCAGCCCCAATTTGTACCCCGGAAAAGGTCCAGCCCCTAACTGCAACCCATTGGGCCCAAACCTAAAAGGCTCGGTCAAAGTCGGCCCAACTACAAAAACACGTGGCCCCTGTTTATTGGGTCAGTAAATTCCTCATGTCATATCGTAGAAAAGTAGTGGAACCCAACCCTGTCATCGACGCAACAACGCGTCAGCTGCCCCACCACCATAAAGTAATACAATAATCTCCTGCACCCACTCCCAACGGAACCTCTCTTCCGTCCCCACCCCATTGGTCCAATCCCTTGCTTCATCGAATCAGAAGCTCCCACGTAGCAGCGAAAGCGAAGGAAGCATGGCAGTTGCGTAAATTTTGCAAGCACTGGGGTCAAAGACCCCCGCGAAATTATCTGAAATTTGTAGAGTTTGGACTGTGGTGTGTTAAACGTATGCTTCGTGTCAACGGACGCCAAATGAGATTCAAATGCAGCCGAATTTCTAGCTCAAGAGAGAGAAAGAGGGGGATAACTTACTTGTAGTTATTAAAATACTGGTATTGATGGGAGTATCGATATGTAAATTTGTGGAATATATTCAGATATATCGAATATAGATATCAATTTATGTTGTTTTGGATGAAAATAATGAAAATTTAAATCGAAACTTTAAGGATTGTCAAACATTGATTTAGACAGAATTTAAGAGTTTATTCGATATCTAACAGATATGTCAGAAATATCGACGATACATGTCGATTTCAGCCTAAACATAAGAGTTTCTTCGATATGCGGTGAAGTTTCACCTCCCATTTCTATAATTTTTTTGATTTTTTTAATATTTTTATTTATTATCGACTGTATTGAAGAAATTTTAAAGACTACTTACATGTCACATGTAGATTACTATGTGGATGATAATAAAACAACGAAATATTAACAAAAATGTACAATATGGTTGTTGTATAGACACGAAATGTTACGGTAACGGTATATTCATGCTATATCGATGATTTATGGAGAGAGAGAGAGAGATGAGAGAGGTTTCCGTGTTTTGTGAAGGTTTGTGAGTGAGTGTTTGAAAAAATAAAAAAAAAAATTTTTTCGTAATACTGATGAAGCCACTGGTGCTTGCCTCCAATCATTTGACTCTATTTTTTCCCCCAATTTTAATGTTTTTATAATTTTGGAGTTCCTGTTATTACAATTTTCGATTGTGCTGAGGGGCAATTTTCTTACATTTTCTGTCTGGTTTCTCGGCGAGCGAGGAGGAAGTGGAGGAGTAGAAGAAACATATATCTCTGCTTCTACGAAACTCTCACGCGCACGTACACACATACTCTCTTTCTTTCTCTAGAATTCCATGGTGATCATGACAAAGAGCTCTGAAATCAGTATTGCCAGATAACCCAACTCCAATGGACTCTCTCTAACTGCTGCTTTTGTCTCTACTCTCTCTCTCTCCCTCTCTCTCTCTCTCTCTCTCTCTCTCTCTCCCTCTCTCTGTATAAGGTACTCTCTCTCTAGGCTCTTTCTGTTTCTCTACTTTACCGTTTCGTGAATTGATTGAGGTAATTCAAGTTCGGGGTATTTTTTTCTCGCGATTTTTGAAGTTTTGGGATCTTTGATGTGATTGGTTGATGATATTGCATGTGGGTTTTTCTATTTTTGTCAAATTAATTTTGCTATTGAGGGATAGTTGGTCAATTTGAAGCTAATTTTGGGGGTTCTGAAGTAGGTAGGTGTAGAAAAAATTTCAACATTTAAGTCCATTTGTTGAATTTGCATGCTAGATTTGAGTTTGGGACTTCGTTACTTGTTACCCAGTTGGATTTTTGAACTACTTCAGCAGTTTCTTCGTCTTAATTTGCAAACAATCTGATCATGTTTGACTTATCATTTTGTTTTTGGGGTAATCTGTCAAGCTGGTAATATTTTTACCCCATCAATTCGAAAACTTGCATGGTTTTTGATAGACCCTTTTGATATTGGTGGAGAAATCTGTAGTTATATCGGTCAATCTGATCGTCGGTAATTCCGGTGGATGTTTGATTTTAGTGCTGCTGGATACTTAGTCCTTTGATTATATTCTTCTCTGCTTGTATCTAAATTTGTCGGTATATTTTTTCGTAGATTTTTTATTCATCAATTTGTAAGTGTACTAAAGAGAGCAAATGTATTATTTACCTCTTCCAGTTTGATAGTTCTGACATATATGTGTTTATATTTTGATGTTCTTCTGGTTTTTCTTGGTTAAAATGAAGATTAATTATTGATGCTTTCCAATTTCTGTTGTGCTGAGTCACATTATGTTGATTGCTCTGTTGATTCAACAAATAGAGAAACGCTGTGGAACTTAGCTGAAGTCTTTGCTTTTGGAGTTGTGAAGTCAGCAATAAATTATGTTAAAATCCTAATGAACATACAGAGAACGTCAATGAAATATACGGAGCAACATGATTGGGATTCAGGACTACCTTTACCTTGTTTTAGTCACCCAAACGACTATTTTAACCACGCACTTGAACTCAGGATAAACTTCACTGGTTTCTTTGTTTTTATTTTTTTGCACCATATGGACTTCTGTATGTATTATTTGTTTGTTAATATTTTTGGATGCATGTGATGCATCTGCATGTACACACGCATGTTTTCTGAACTAGCAAAATACATTTTGACAGTTTGTTGATAACTGAACGTTATATATTTACTCTCCTTGTTTTGCAGAAAGCGATTCAATGGAGAAACATTTAGGGGATATACTATTTGGTCGTTCTGAAGGTTCCCTCTCTTTTCTTTACTGATGGAAGCATTGTGCAGGCACATAGCCACGTACATATGCTATATACATATTACATATATTTCCTTATGTATGTTTGATGTTTCTCTTGATAGTCATTTATAACCAATTGTGTAGGGGCCTTCAAGATTCCATCTGCTAATAATCACCATGCATCAAGTGATACTAGCTTGTTTTTGAGCTCATTACCTGTCCTTCCACATGGAAAGTGTACGTGCAAGTTATTTTTGTGATGAAAATGTTATCCCTATCTGTAGAATGGCTGTTGAGAGTTGAGTCTTGATTTTCTGAATATGCAGTGAAATTTCCTGTTTCGGAGCATTTTGGTCAGTCTGTTGATGATAGTTTACCCAAATTAAACAATGTTGAACAAGAAAATGAGACTAAGGATTCACTTGAAAGCGATGAATCAAAGGCATTCGGGGTCATGCTTCCTGATGATGAAGATGATCTCTTAGCAGGCATAACAGATGATTTTGATCTAAGTCGATTGCCTAATCAGCTGGAGGAGATGGAAGAGTATGATCTGTTTGGAAGTGGAGGTGGTATGGAGTTGGATTTTGAATCCCAGGATAGCCTCGGTATTGGCATGTCAAAACTAGGCATATCTGATGGGGTTGTTCCAAATGGGATTGGTCATTATGCTCTTCCAAATGGTGTTGGAGCTGTGGCTGG